TCAGCAAATTTGCTGAGTGTCCCTTCATCTAGGTCACCGATGAATGTATTAAGACAGGCCCTAATATTGACCCCTGGGGACCACCGCTAGTCACAGGCCTCCAGCTGGATTCAGCACCCCTGATCACAACGCTCTGAGCTCTGTCCTTCAGCCAGTTGTCGATCCACCTCACTGCCCACTTGTCTATCCCACATTTCCTAAGCTCACCTATGAGGATGCAGTGGGAGACAGTGTCAAAAGCTTCGCTAAAGTCGAGGCAGACAACATCCACTGCTTTCCCCTCATCCACCCAGCCAGTCATGCCACCATAGAAGGCTATCAGGTTGGTCAGGCATGATTTCCCCTTGGTGAATCCATGCTGACTACTCCTGATAATCCTCTTTTCCTCCACCTGTTTAGAGACAACAACCAGGATGAGCTGTTCCATCACCTTTCCAGGGATGGAGGTGAGGCTGACTGGTCTGTAGTTATCCAGATCCTCTTTCTTGCCCTTTTTGAAGACTGGAGTGACACTGGCTTTCCTCCAGTCCTCAGGCACCTCCCCTGTCGTCCATGACCTGTACCAATGAAAACAAATAACAGTAGCTACTACTTACCATGTACAAATCCTGGCCGATGCCTAGATATTTCCCATTACCACAACCAATATCAGCCACTATGGACCCTTTTGGTAGGGACTTGAGAAACTCCACGATTCGGGGCCATGGGCTATGCCTGGTACTGCTGAAGTGTGTGGCAATCTCTTCATACACCTTGTGTACATACTCTTGCTCCAGCTTTGAGGCCTCCATCTCATTGTGGGGAACTGAAGGTTGTACCTGTCTTTGTTGTCCTTTCTGGCTGTCACAGACAGATGGGTAAACTAGAGATAGCAATAGATACACAAAAAAAAAAAAATAATTTTTTTTAAAGTAATTCCTTGTTGGTTAAACTTATTTAGCAAAATAAAATTAGAAGTGAAATGTTAAAATGCAAAACCCCCACTTAATTCCTCCTTTACCTTTTAAAAGCTGAAATGCAGGTCAAACTGCAGAAGTGTTTGATGACCTTAAAACAAGCAACCCGCCCACACGTACCAGAGGCTCTTTGCTGTGATCATTCATCCTGCTATGTTAATGAGGTTTATGTTTTCAAAACTGAGACAGTGCCCCTAATACCAAAGATCATGGCATCACTGCAATTCAGCCTCTGAAATTCTGTGCTGAGGGCACAAATGGACTTCAATTCCATGTAATCACTGAGCCACCTATCTATTATTATCTGTACTGCCCTAAGGCACTTACATGGCTCTATCACTGCAGATCTGACTGCTTCTCCTTCCCTAATGTACTTATTTTCACAAAATTACAGTCCCCTTCAGATAAAAAACAGTCAAAACTGACAGGAACTTGGAGAACAGTAGCTACTTCTATTACATTATTCCAGCGCTCGAGGTCCCAACGAAATGCAAGATTCCAGATTACTTGCCTAGCTCTGGAGCAAGCCAAATGCCTTCCTGTAGAGAGAAAATCCAGCAACCACATGGATGCAACCAATTCAAGCCTAACCTGAGCGGTTCCGGAATGGCTACCAGGACTAACAAAACTACCCAAAGGGATAAACCAGTTTGGTCAGAAAAAAAAAAAAAGCTTACATATTGGTGATAAATAACAATTTTGACTTGAGGATCACATCAAGACACTTACTGCAATTGCAAGGGCTTCTCCTCACTTTCCTGAAGGTAAATGATGTCCTTGTTTCCCTTCGATTTAGTGTTAAATCTCTAAAATCAGCAGTGATTGTTCCAACTTTTTGCCCAAGCTCTGATGCTTGAATGACATCATATTTTCGGGGTGTAATTCTAAAACAAAGTAACACAAAATGAAAGAATAATTCAATTTGCACCTGAGGAAAAACAATCCATCTTTATAAGAAAGCAATTCTTACACACTGTGACAAGTGTGATTACAACATGCTATTTAATGTACTGCTGCTTCTCAGTTTTCAACTTATTCAATTTCAGAGAAAAAAAGAGGAGCTGACATAAACGAATGACATTAATTAAAGCATTATTTAACTGCAGTTAATTACATTTCCCTTCCCTCTCTTCCTTTCCTTCCATAAAGTTTGGCTGTTTATTTTTCTAGGACTCATATTTTTTTATATAAAAAATGTAGTTGTTAAAGCTAAAACACTACTAAAAATGGTGGCTACGGGTATAAAAGCATAGAATTAGCTGAGCTTTACATTAGCAGACTGAAGAGCAGACTGAAGTTTCTTGTTACAAATGGGCCTCTCCAATGAATTCCACTTTGCAACAGAATTGCTTTTCCATTTATTGACAACAGAAGATGTGAAGAATGTAGCACTTGGGAGATTTGCTAAAACGCCTAAAGGTAGAAACTCTGCTGTAGGTCTTTCTTGACCAAAATCTATCAATCAAGCAAACTGGGAGCAGAGCTTCTTAAGCTACTTCCGGATTTGGCATGGATCTAAACATAACACAAAAACATTTTTGCAAGGACAAAATTCATAAAATGAAAAGTGGTTTGGAACTTTCTTGGCGTTACAAAAGTTTCAAATAATTTTATGAAGAGGTTTACATCGTGAAAAAATACTAAATTCGAGAATTTTTAATCGCTCTACAAACGAATCTCTCAAAAGTTGAGAAGAGGAAAATGAGGAAGTAAAATGTGAAACACAACATGAGAGAAGAGAAACTGCTGCACCCACATGTAGTTTCCCACCACTTGCACGTTAGAAAAAGTAGATACTCTTGGAACAAAATGGAAACTCTTCAGGGAAACAGCTTAGCACTTCAAAGCTGTTACTGTCACACTGAAATGCTGCCTGAACTTAGTCATCAAGGAGATTAATGCAGAAATTTCCTCAAGAAAAGAAAAAAAACACCCCAAAACATCTCTAAGGAATTGGCCTGTCAGTGAAGCCCCTTCAGAGCTGCTGACTTCAAAGTACTTGACTCAGCAGGACAAAGTCTCAGTTCAAAACCGACTTCCATATTTGTTAGCTGAGTTTAACCCTCACAGGTTGAGCCAGAAGGGGGGAAAAAAAGGTGTCTTACATATTTTAATAAAGCACAGCATTCAGTCTCAGCTCACATTTCACTTTTCTGCAGGTCACACAAAACTGTTGACCAGTGCCTGTACTTAACCAAGAATGATCCAAATGCTGAGAAGGCAGCCTACAGCCCAGCCACCATTCCTGTACTTTGCTGTATGCCATTTTTCCTCCTGCAGAGAAGCTGATCTCCAATCCAGTCAGAGGGAAAAAGAGCACAGGTCCTTTCTGTCCGGAAATCAGGAAGCAGCTCATTGATGCTCCATCTAGATGTTGCAAAGAGGAGACACGAAGCAGCCCCAAGAATGGAAATCTCCCAAAGGCAGCCACGGAAAGGATGCGATCTAATAAAGAATGGCCTTGTTCATGGCAGATAATGAAGCTACGATGAAATAATCAGCTGAGGATGCTCAAGACTCCCTGGACCAGAGAACTTCAAATCCAGAGTTTGCAGATTTTCTGTTTGATTTTCTTTTGCACTGCAGCAATAAGCTAAGCATAGCAGCTAATATTTTCAGAAATAAGTTCTTCTTTTTCAAAGTTCCAGTTTCAACCTACATAATTTCCTTTTGCCTGAACTACAAGCCAGAACTCCAGAAAAAGGCTGGGCTAAAAACAGGATTCCCAATGTCAAAAATAAAACGCTGCACATCCTCTTGCTTAGCACAGAGTTGTTTCACTACTGCAGTGTCAGGAATGGTGTTTTGCAGATCACCCAACCAAAAATGAACCTCATCAGAAAAGCCATAATTTTACTTTCACCTATGAGACAAAAAGAGCACGTATCTTTTGCTCTCCTTGATGACACTGCATAGCTTGTTTATTAACCATATGTTTCTCTTTCACAGAGAACAGAACAAAACCCCTTTTCCCGTGCGCTTTGTTAACAAGGTCAAAATGAAGTCTCCAACTCCTTTGGCATCCAAATGTACACATCGAAAACATTTCCGGAATACTTCCAAAACTGAACCTTTCGCTCTCTAATTTGACTTCTGAGGACTAGATAAGAGGCATCACAAATGATCTTAAATACATCCTGATGTTATGTATGCAAGTGAATTAACTACACTTGCTTGCTGGATGATTAATCTTGTTGATTACAACAGTATATTCCACTAGCATGATGGAAAGCTTACTCCAGTTGAGTATCCTCACCCACTACTACTTTTAAAAATATACAGAAAACTATTTTTAGGAAAGGTAGACAAGCACTGGGATAGGAATAACTTATACATGATTAGAAAGACCTAGGATTTTAAATTTAAATGTGGTTTATGTCACTGGTTCTCAAAAGACAATCATCACTTGAAGGCACAAGTGAGTTAAGCAATAATCTCATTCCAGTTCTTAGTAGGCAGGTACACTACCCCAACTTGAATGCCCACTGGCAAGTATTGCAAGTGTCCTGCGTGCATCCTTCCCCCTCCTGGAAGTTGTGGCCTTGGAGAAAGCTGTCAGGAAGACAGCCAGAAGCCTCAGCAAGGACCACCCCTCCTTTCCCTGGGAGCTGCTGTTAAACGGAGGCTGTCTCGCTGGGCCTTGCTCCAACTACAGCTCCAGATGCATCCCCAGCTCTCTCAGTGCACACCCACTGCCTCACTGATCTGGGCCTTGACCTCCAGGCTGACATCTCAACCTGGCCTCAGCCAGGCCCCATGGAGCTCTCTGATGCCTGGGGTTGGGGACCACCCCCCAGCTCCCCTGGCCAGCAATGCCACTGACATGGAACCTGCACTATGTTCTCAGAGTTGTAGGTAACCTTTCCAAAAGATGACTGACAGTATTCGACAGGACAGAATAAGAAGCTTATAACGCTGGTATCTGTGTTCAGTCTTGTATGCCAAAAAACAATGGACTTCACTGACCTGGGCTTCTATAACGATGCACGTCAGAAGCACCAGCTGCTTTTTACAATTATTTAATTTAATGAGGGAATATACAGGTGGTATAACCACTTTATAAAACTGAACAATGTAAAGGTCATTAGGGAGTTCATATTCACCCTTCTTCATAATACAAATTAACCGGTAAAATTAAAAGGCAGAAAATCTGCCAATAAAAGGATCTGATGTTTAATTTACACAGAATGTAATTAGTGTCTCCAGTTGACTGCTGTAACCAGTGATGGCTCGGGTCAAACAAAGGAAGAAACATTTACCATGGGCATTTCTGTCCAATGTGAGGCTTTCCACATTCTCCTGAAGTACACTACTGTCACTCTCGGAGCTCGCCAAGGTTTTAGCCTTTTTGCCAATTTCAGCGCTCCTATTATAAGTATCTCCCAGTGGTGCGTGATTAAAAAGCATGTATTTAAACTCCACAATAAGCAAAGCCTCAAGACACATTTCAAGAAATCTCTTTTCCAGGATCCCAAACCTGCTCAGTACAATGCAGCCTTATCAGTATTTAAAGTGTCCCTAAAGCAGCTGGGAAGAGCTCAGGAAGACTTCCTTTCATCACCCTCATGGCCTCTGTGCAAGTGAAGTCACTCTCTTAAACCAGCCCTTCTCTAAAACCTTTGGCATATGTGATCCAATGGGAGAAGCTGTGGGCTGAAAAGAGAGAAAGGAAATGGTGAAGCTAATTGCACTACAATCAAATCTTTGCCAGCTCAGAGACATTGAGGACTTTCACACCGCAGATGTGAGAGCAATTTCCAAGCAAAACTTCACCTGTAACAGCAGCAGGAAACTGCAGCTCAGGGACTGGCAATTAGCTTCCTAAAATCCCTATTTTTTTCAATTAAACCTGAGCAGCATCTGAGCAAGGAGTGAACTTGTGTATTAATTATAAAACTTGACTTCATTTCATTCAGAGCAATTTTAAATACAGAATTTCCTTAACAAAGCAAACAACATATATTATTCTATTATCAGCAATGCAGGGGCTCTTACACATACCCATGTGTCCATAGGTATCTGGATTCTCCAGCCATCACCAATAAACTGCATCGGGGCAGCATAATTGCCACTGTACGGCCATCAGGGTGTTTGAAATCCATCACAATCTAAAAAGAAACAAAATGAGCCACTATGAATGAGTGTGACTTCCAGAGCTTCATACACATGACAGGCATTCTCAAGTCCTAGCTTTTTGCCTCTTCAATGTGTTCATTAGAATATTGCCACAGAACAGCTATATATTTCCTAGGAATGCAAAAGCCTCTAGGTCTCTGTCCTTAAAATCCCTTTCAACACTGTGTTCAAAAATCTAAGGCACTCACAAATATATATGTATATATAGATAATACTTTTTTTTTTCCACAGTAATATCTTTCTTTGTGAGAATATGGCAGCACCGTTTAATCTCTGTGTGTACCTGTGAGGTAGGAAAGGATTACTACCCTCTTAAATGAAGATGCCTTTAGTTAAGGGAAGACAGGGCTCATTCGTCCTGTCAGGCATCTGAAACTTAGGTACCCGGGCTAAGGCCATCAGCTACTGTCTTTTTGTGAAGCCTCTGCAGAGAGAGAGAGACAAGTATCTCCACAGAGTGACTCATCCTAGTCTTAAATGTAGAGCTAAGCTATGTGGAATGACCCTGGAAATGCCTATCCATTCACAGCAGATTGAGCTGAGACAATTAACTCAGAGTAGATACATAACATTTAGATAACGAGTATTAGGCAAGAGAAATAATTTCCAACCTGCCCACATTCTTGGAGGTTTGCAGCACAACAAGCACATGCAGTCTCCTAAGATCACGACTAACATGCCAAGTACCAGACCATCCTTCTATTATTTGCCACCTGGCTTCTAGCCATGGCAATATATTGAGGTAACGCTTTCAGCTTTATTCCAATTTCACAGCCCAGATGGCAGTGCTACATTTTGCTTCTGCTTGGGCTAGGAATGTTATCCTTTTACATTTCCCAAATGAGACAAACTCTTGCTGTGGAAAATAAGGAACAGGTCAGTTAAGCAAGCCAAATGAGTTACAGAAGACTTACCAAAAAAGAAAAGTGGTCAAAAACTATTCGAGTCAGTAGTTCCAGCTACACTGGAGAATTACGGCCATGAAAGTGCTGCCACCTGATTTGTAACCTACTAAGTATGCAATTTAAAAGCAGACTTACTACAGTATGACAGATTGAAACAAATTAAACAGTTCTGCTTCTGCATACAGATGCATTCAACAAAGAAAACAATGGTGCAATGATCAGTCATTCAGCACAAAAAAACAGCAAGACAGAGACTGAACAAGCAAGACTTTTAAACACTACAAATTACCACTTACAACATTTACTATTTAATGTTGTGCACACTGGAGCAAGCTACAATGGCATTTACATTTTTAGGAAAAAAAAGATTACGCTGTAGTACCACCCACATAGAGTGACACAGCTTCTCCTGTTGAGCTATCTAAATTTAAAGCAAGAAGTGACGAGGGTGACAAACAGTGGGGCTGAAAGCGGAAGAGAGATATGGGGGAACAGGAATAAAGCCTACCTATAAGCACTGATTAGTGATTATGAAACACTTCAATAGCTACACCAATAGATGAATGGCAGCCACTTGCTAATAATATGTTCCTTTGCTTGCACCTAGATATTTCTTCTAGGTATCCTCAAAGAAGCACGGGGTGAAGAAGGAGAAAACACAGTGGCTTCACAGATCTGATGGGGAGGCTGTCCCATAAAGCATGACTGGATGCAAGCCTTTGTAAAAGGCTACCCAGCAAGGCAAAGAAACCAGAGGATAACTCACCCAGACCAGCAAGTAAGGAAAGGAAAAGCACGACAAGAAGTGGGGAGTGAAGTGGCTGAATGAAATGGGTGAGGTATCTCAGTCTGTCTTTTGTCTCTCTGGCTCACCACTGTTGGGGGACAGGCATGAGGGGACGAGACCGGGTTCTTCAGAAGTACAGCAGAACGAACTGAACATGAGACTGTCCAGATTCCTTCCTGGAGACTCAGTTACCCCACTGTCCCTTTTTCTGGGTCAGTAGTAGCTGCAAAGCTCTGTTCTTGCAGATGATGTTCAAGAACTGCACTTTCTCCAAGAGTCAACGAGGAGACTTCTGTGGGGTCTCCTACACTTCCAGCTCCCATCTCCCTCCAGGGCCCGGAAGAGGACACAGTTCCCTTTCATTTCTGCACACCAGGCTGGGGACTGTATATGAAGCAGTGGGAAACAGTTCCTCCAGCTCCCTGCCTTCTCCGCTGCTTTACATCACGCGTCTCCAATTCCTTTTCCCCCACCAACTGCATGGCCCCAGAGTCTCTTCACAGACGATGCTCCTCAAACCTCACGCTGTTAACAACTGTGTGTTCAAAAAAGCAGAGGTTCAAAGTGCTCTATTAACAGATAGCATGTTGGGAATGAGAGGCCACAAAACTATCCCTGGTAGCTGGATTTTCAGGCAAAAGTGGAAGGAAAATAGATAGTAAAAGAGCATGTCCTCCTGGCTGAATTTCAGCTATGCTAAGCCAACAAGAAATATGTGAAACAGAATTTCTGATGGTGCAGAATGTGAGGCTGAAAAGCAGGAGATTATCTATGTAATAACTGGCAAGTCTAGTCTACCAGCACAGGATGCCAGCTTAGTCCCTGCTCCCTACCCTTCTGTGGAGGAAAAGCTTCTGTACTATCATCTCACACTGTGTGGCTGCTCCTCTTCTAAATGAATTTCATCCTGATGACAAGCCATGATGATGCAGAGAGGAAAATATAAATAAAGGATTGATTTACTTGCAAATGGGCAATGGCATTAAGCAGTTAGCAGTAACTAGAAGAGCCAAAAATCCAAATCCAAAACTGACTTTTGCTTATGAAGCAGAGATCCTCAGCTAGAAAAATATTAGTTTTACACTTTTTCTATTAACAACAAATTTGACATTGCAATTCAAACAAGAGAATCAAATTTAAGGAACCCACTGTGAACATTTGAAGTAAATTAGTGCAATTTCTATGCTTTATTCCTTTATCTAGAATAACTGCACCTGAATGCTTAAAAAAGCCAAGCAAGAATACTACTTCTATTCTTTGTTTAGAGTACAGTAACAAACATTTAACCCAGAAGGGTTTTTGAAGAACTCTGTTCTTATCTCTGACAAGCCTATTACTGACTGAAGTAGGTAAGATTCCCACACTCCTCTATGTGTCTTTATCCTGGCAGAACATTCTAAATTGTCACTGTCACACACACACACAAAGATTAACGCATTTAGTCCTCTTTTTAATTTACTAAGGACTCACAATCAATAAAGCAACTCTGCCACTGCTGAATCAATCTGTTTCATGACAGCTTTGCTCCACAGGAGCTGTTTCCAATTACCATTTTCATTTTTACCTATTTTCTTTTTTCTCTTAGATGGCAGAGTCAATAAAGATCAAATTTCCAGCTAGCCCACGGTGCATCATCCAGGGGTTACATTCAAAAAATAAAAACGGCGGATGCTTTAATCTTATACAACTTTTACCTTCTTGCTTTGTACTATGGAAAAAGCGTGTCTCTAGATGTACTGAAAAAACTTAAAAGAAACAAACCGCTAATAATACCTACTTGTGGTTTTAAATAACTTGTCACGACACCAGGTTATTGAAAACAGGGAGCACATGAAGCAGTAAACAGCTTTCAAGGATGGCTAAACATCAAAGCAAAGGGACACCCACATCATGAACTTTGTTCCCGTGGCACAAAATATGAAGAAAGTATGTTTTTCTTAACTCCTCAAGGAATGAGAAGTCTGCACCACCTTTCAGTGCAACTGTACTGCACTTCATGAAAGAGCAGGAGGAGGAAGGAAGTGAATGACTGGTCTATCAAATAAGGCAAAACAGAAGTAATGCAACGGAGCTATAAGGACAGTGTCGATAAGGATTTCACTGCTACAGCGTGAAACAACAACACTGTTTTTCTAAGCCTTGTCACAGATGCAATTTGTATTTGACAGTAATCGACTATCTTAGATGAAACATACTCTAAAGCTAAAAAAAGTACAATGTGGAATGCTTCTCAAGTCTCTGACATTATTTACTGAATTTTCAGAGAGCAAAGACACATTATCAGCCTACATAGCAGTTTCCCACATGTAAAACAGATGAAAAAGAATGTCGGCTTCAAAGACAGATGAGAGGTTTAAAGCCCACACATGCGGCCTGAACAACACAGTGAGGCTCTACACAGAGACAAGAGCCTGCTGGCTTACACAGGACTGAGACCATCAGTTATATACAGCACCTTTCACTGCAAAACCCATGCTAAACTCCAAAATTTGGAATTTGGAAAAATGTTGAATTTTAAGGGGAAAGAGAATGGGACTATCTTCTCAGAACAATCCACGTCATAGAAATTTATTTTATGTAATCTATGCTGATATTGACATCCTATATCACGGTCTCTAGCCATACTTCAGAAAACAAGTGCAACACTGAAAATCACAATGAAATATTTCATTACTGCCTACCTCAAAAATCTCTCAACACATACACAGGCCTCACCCATATCAGATTTATGCCAAAGCATACCATCTCTTGCTACTTAGGCACTATGGTAATAGTAGTCAGATGCTTAATATACTTACTAGGTTTTCTTTCTTGAAAAATTGTATTCAATCCATTCAATGCATTAATATTTTTCTGAATTTTCTGTGTTGTTTTAAGTATCTATACATTTCTTCCTCTTAATTTAAGTCTAGCATATGTATGTTTCTATTTCAATACACAGAGAGTACTTCATTCTTTTCTCTCCGAGGTCTCACCTTGTTATGATTTTCTTGATACTCCCAAGGAGGAGAGTCTATCCACTGAACAGCATACCACTATCTGTCCTAGCTATCACATATGCTATTGACTCCATGATACAAGTTCTCTTGTTGACTGTGTTTACAAGATTCAGAGGACAAGAGCACAAGAAGAGGAAAACTACTACAATTTCCAAGCTAATTCCTGTTGGATGTAGGAGCTTCCAATCCTCTGTAGGCCTTGTTACAGCTAGTTGGAATATACACCGCTCATTTTGTACCTGGAGATGGATCTCTTGAGGTTCACCAACTCCAAGTTACTA